CATATTAAACAAATTATACTAGGAGAATACTCACCCCTCAGACATTGCTGCAGCTTATTGTGCCTTTGGAAGAGAAGTACATTTTTTAACATCTAGTATCACAAATATAGATTCACAGATTTTCAGGTTAGTTTAAATTAATGTTCAAGCAAACATTTCAAAGGTTAAAGGTTTTGAACGTGATACTGTGAAGCTTTTCTTTCTCATATCTTGGTGTAAAGTTAATATTTTGGGGGGCTTTGGATGCAAACTGCATTTATAATCCAGGTAATGTTGTCACTTAATTTGTGGACTCTTATTTTGAAGGCTGAATCCCATGGTCTTGTTTTTTTAAACCGCATATTACGAGCAAAGGGTGGAACTAAGCAAGAAATAAATTAGTGCATATGCATACAAAAGCAACTTGCAACTATGACCATAATTGACAAAATGAACAGAATCTTGTATTTTTTAAATATTTTTATTTAAAAATGTAAAACTAGTGATTGAGACCAAAAACCTATGAGGGATTTACTGAGGTCATGGGTCACATAAGCTCAATGGTTATTTTCCCATAGACTTCAAAACAGCTGGAATTCTTTTTAAAACCTCTTTTTAGAGTTGCCCCCTGCTGGTCATTAAAAATAATGCATGATTAAGGCTTTTGGGACCTGTAGGCCATCCTTTAGTTACAGTATTGGGTTTGGATTTGTGATCAAAGAAAAAACATACTGGAATATATTATCTTGTACTTTGGGAAGTTGTAACTAACAACTATTTTCTTATTTTGTTCTCTTTTATCCTTTTTTTTTTACTTTTGTTTACACAAAGCAATCAACTATGTGAAAAGACGTACAAACTAATAGATAATAACAATTTAAAAAAGCACACATTATTATTATTCCTAGTATTCTCTGTTGATAATAAGATTAGGGAATTCGAGATCTGCTAAACAGATTTATTTAGTCTAATAGCTCTCAGGGGCTTTCAGATAGTTTTCAGCTTTCTTCCCAGGAGTTGCCTGTTGCACAGCTATATTTGGCCACATTGCACTGTGTCCCATCAGCTGCTGTGGCTTTGATAGAGACAGCCAAGCTACAAAAAGTTTGGCAGCACAGAAAGTGGAACAACACCATACCAGCAGATACCAGTAGATCTCATCCAGATTCATATTGTGGCACATTTTCTATCTTAGAAGATTGTTTATTTTGTTTCTCTGTTACCAACACTTAAATTTAGCTGGCTAATGTCTTTGAATAATCTCTCCATGATATATATGCTTTCATATTACGTAGCCTTCTCCTTATCTATATGTTTTTATTTACTCTGTATCTTTACCTTTAAAAACGTACTACTGATTACTACATTGTTTTAAAGCGAATTTAATCGTGATAAACAGTTGTAGTTCTAAAAATAAAAAGCTCTCCTCACTTGACGACATTATCCAGTTTAAAATAAGCCATTCTAAGAGAGGGTGAAGGTCAAAGTCAACAAGCAAAGTCACAGCTGGTTTAAGGAAGCCTTCAGCCTTAGCTAGAAGGTTACCAGTTCATAGGAGCAAACTATCGTCACTTATTACATCAGCTTTTAACTGCAGTGAAGGATCAAACGTGTTGTTACCAGAGCCAAAACACAGATGGGCAGTTTCAGCCTCAGATTACATTTCCTCAGTCAAAGGGTCAAGACATCATTAAGAAGCCTGAGATGTTGTGGGAGTAAAAGCTAGGCTGCCAAGTTCAAAAAGTTTTAAGACCTTGACAAAAGTAGCCACATAGCTGTGATCCTGTCACATAAATACCGGCTGCAGTATCACTGTCAGGGGCAGATATGCAGTATTCCTCTACCCTTGAGTTAAAACAAGACTCAGCTCGCCTGAGACAGCCAAAGGGCTTTAAATGCAGGTACTTTAACAACTCAGAAAATAAAACAGAATGGACCTTTAATGCCATTGTTAAAAAGAAACAATAGAAAAAAATTATTTTTAACTATAGTATAATAACTATGGTCCACTGAATCACATTTAATGAGCCATCACTTAATCTTACATTGCTAGGTCAAAAAGTCTCATTTAATATCCATGTTAAAAATCTCTGACTTTAATTTTCTTTTATTGTGTGAAACTTACCTTGGCGTTGACGGGAAATCAGACAAGGTAGTGGTGTGCTGAGAAAAGGAAAAGCACTTTATGGTTATTGCTCAAAGATTTACGTGCCCAAAGTATTGTGTGGATGGCTTGTTAAAATAGACA